TTAGTCTCAGAGTCTTCTTGGGAAACATAACCTCTAACACAACATGTTTTTTAATTTCAAAGTTCTTACGTCACCACTGCTAGAATTATGTCAGATCTTTTCTATTTTTTCTTCCTCAAGCCTCGGCTAACACCATATGTTCCCATATTAAGACCAGTGGGCCTAATGTAGAAATTGTATCCTGCTATTAAGACTTAGTGGAACCAAAATAACAAGTGGATGTGGATGAGGATGTGGAGAAAAAAGAATGCTCTTGCACTGTCAGTGGGAATGTGAATTGGTGTGGTCACTAAGGAAAACAGTATGGAGGTTCCTCAAAAAATTAAAAATAGGACTACCGTACAATCTAGCAATTCCACTTTTAGGTATTAATCCGAAGAAAACCAAAACACTAATTTGAAAAGACAAATGAACCCCTATATTCACTGCAGCATTATTTGCAATAGCCATGATATGGAAGCAACCCAAGTGTCCATTGGTAGGTAAATGCATAAAGAAGATGTGATATATATAAAATGGAATATTACTCAGCCATGAAAAAGAAAGAAATATTGCCATTTACAACACCATGGTTGGACCTAACAACTATTAATTACATAAGTGAAATAGAAAAACAAATACCATTCAATTTCACTTATCTACATATAAAGGATGGAGTAGATTGGGAGACAAGGTAGGTGAAGGAGATTATGAGGTACAGTCTTTCAGTTATAAAATAAGTAAGACATGGGGTGTAAGGTACAGCACAGAGAATGCAGTTAATAATATTGTAATAACTCTTTATGGTGACAAATGATAACTAGACTTCTTGCAGTGACCATAATGTATATAAAGATCAAATCATTAGGCCATATACCCAAAACTAATACAATATTTTATGTCAATTGTTCTTCAATTAAAAAAAAAGACTAGTGTAACTCACTGTTTGGATAATGAAGCATTCAAGTTTGGATTCCACACTTTTCATAACCTATAGAAGTAACTTAACTCCTTCGCCCTTCACTGTCCCCTCCTTACCTTCACTCCTGGTGTAACTCAGGAATTTCACTGTCAAGCCCATGGAAACAATGACAGAATGGAAAGAAAAGAGGGAGACACTGGGCTATTGTGGAAATGATTTGAAGGGTGGGGACTCCCCTTCAAATTTACAGGGGTAGAATTTTAAAATTCGTTTGTTTGATTTCTAGAGTACTTTTTCTCCAAAGGTTCAAAACTCAAAACAGGTTTTTAATTAAGTTCTTCCTTTTTCTAGGCTCTAGAAATGTAAAAGTACTGTAATTAGGAGCATGGGTCAGATACATCCCACTCCCTGTTTTATTTTTCTTTGCTTAGAAAACCAGATACTTTCAGAAAGGTAAAATAAATAAATAGGGCTCGTTCCAAACGCATTGTGAAATAGTTTGTCCATGATGAGCCTCTTCCCTTTTGCGGCAGACTATTTTTCTTTGTGGCTACTCTTCCCTTAACATTGAGACTTCTTGGTTTATTGCCAGTCTCCTGTCCTTCTCCTTCTCCTCCCTCTCCTGGCCATGACCTACAGTCAGTCTGATGGCCTCCCTGCTACCTGTTGTTACTATAACTGAAACGTCCCTATTGTACAGCTAACTTTTCTCTCTTAGGAAGCAATTTTGCTTGGCACACTTATACTTGGTTAGTAAGTATTTAAATAGCTGGATGAGACTATGAATCAATAAACTGCTCCCTCACAATACACCACTTAGCACCCACCCTGCCCCCATCCACTCAAGGTAAACATGTATAAACAGGGGCCTGAAAGAAAAAAAAACATGCCTTCCCTTGTAGCAGGACCAAACTAGGTGAGTTGGGAGAGGAGTCCTATGACAGATGAATGTGAGAGTATTGTGTTAACCATGTGCTTCTGATGTTTTGATGTGACGTCTGGGGCCTTGCTGACCCTGGAGAGACTGCTCCTCATAAGGCTAGCTAATTCGCAGAGATGGTGAACAACTCACCCAGGGCTGTCTTTCATATGCAAACCAACCAAGCCAGAGACCATACCCTCCTAAACCTGCTTTAACTGAACTCTCACTGGGCTTTCACACTCTGATCCACTATTCACCTGCTCTCATCACCTCAGGACCAGGTTCCGGACAGCTAGGGACAGATGACATTATTCAAAGCAGCCAATCTTAAGCCTGCTTACCTGGCCTTGACTGTTCCTTCCCACACAAAGCACAATAAAGGCTATTGCTTATATTTTCCCCTTGGTCCCTCTGCCTCCTGACCAACCCTGGTCCTTCCCCATGGTATGGCATGTTCCCCCCTCTTGGAAACCATAACAAACTATCTTTTCAATGTCAGTTGCCTCCTGGTCTGTTGGCTTCACCATGCCTGAGCAACAATAAAACCTACATTTGATTATTTATTTATTTATTTATTTAATTTTATTTATTTATTTATTTTGAGACAGAGAGGGAGGGAGAAAGAATCCCAAGCAGGCTCCACACTGTCAGTACAGAACCCGATGTGGGGTTCGAACTCAAGGAACCGTGAGATCATGACCTGAGCTGGAACTAAGAGTCGGATGCTTAACTGACTGAGCCACCCAGGTGCTCCCCGAATCTATGTTTTAAAATAGTTATTTCAAATACTTCTCTAATCTCAAGTGTGAGGCCTCCCGTGCTAATTCTTTTAAGACTCCGAAGGAAGTCTCTCCTTTTTTAAAAGTTCAGATGATTGGAGAAATAGCTGTTATCCAGAGAAGGCAGCATAGCATTCTGTTAAAAAGCAAAAGCAATGACACACTTTACCTCATATGTATTATCAGCTTGGGGTCTCAAAAAATCCTGTGAATTATTGTATTGCCCTCAATGAACTGAAATTTAAAGATAGGGTTTTCCAAGGTCACAGAGTCCCATACACAGAAGACATGAGACTCACACACCAATTTTCCTGGCATTCCTTCAGTCATGCCCTGTTTCTCTACTTCTTCTATCAAAGTCTTCTATCTTCTAGTATCCTTTTACAAAGTTCTATTGTGTGACATCACCACTTCCTTCAAACTTTAAACGAAAGTATGGCAATTTCTTGCCAGCTAGGGCTAAAGAATGAGTCCATCATGAAAAGTAGCTAACATATATCTAGATGTTTCAACAATAACATGACCTTGGGGAAAGAATGCAGAGTCTTAGGAAGATATTATCCAAAGACAGAGAAGATCTAGAAACTGTAGAACTTTATAATACTAAGTCTTGTATTTAATGAATGAATGAGAAATTTTAAAAATTTCTTCTTTCTGAAAGAGTTCCCTTCTTTGGTCATGAGTTGCCACAGCTACAAAAACCAGATTGGCTGTGAAACAGACAGGCAAAAATCTCTCCCAGTTCTGGAAAACCATAAACTGAAGGAACAATTCAATACAATAAAGATAAAAGATAAGCATTAAAAGACAATATATAATAAAATTTCTGTCGCATGTCATCAAGCAGCAAAATGCACTATAAAGATGCGGTCAGTGTTGACCAATGTGGAATATTGGGTGAATTCATGGGAATTTATCTTTTGACATTCACCAGATTCTCACAGTGGTTTGGAATCTGCTATTTTTTAAGCAAAAAAAGAAGGAAATGTGAGAAAGAGGGAAGAGGGAAAAATAATAAAGCCAATTAAGTGACTTGGAAATAAAGCAAATTAGCTGAAGAGTTGGATTGTAGGTAGGGAGAAAACAAGACTGGATAAGGAGGTTAAGAACACCCAGTAAGAATTGGGGGTGCCACTTGGAGATGGTGATCGGCAGCTATTAAGAATTTCCATGGACTGCAGGTAAGAAGTAACGGGTTCGTGTGGCCAGAGGATTTCAGCTGAGTATCAGGAAGAATTTCCTGACTGTAGACGTCAAGAGCTCTGGTTTACAGGATCAAAGAGAGGCTTCTGGGATGTGCCTACCCTAGGAATATATTTTAGCCTCGAGAGAGAAGACGGGGTGGTTTCTTCCCCGTGGCTGAACTGGACGGCCTCCTCACAATCCTTCAGTCTCATGTTGCTGAGGGAGCATGCCATACACTGCTGCTTTCACAGCGTCCTTGCCAGCTGTCCACTCCCAGCTCAGAGGCTGTGGAGTTTTCCCCACAGAAAGAAACAACTAAGTCTTTCACTCCCTGTTCCGTACTTGGACCAATCCTTAAGGTGCACACTGTGGTTTTTCAACTCTTCGGCACTTAGGCCCTTTCCTTCTGAGCCAAGGGCCTCCTGGGAACAATGTAGCATCTGTGTGTTGACAGAAACAGCCTGTAGGCCAGAGACACTCAGCCAAACTCTCCCTCTGTTTCACATGGGCTGGATTGAACACTTTACCTGCAATAATCCGCTCCTAGTCAGCCCCAACACCCCCCCCCCCCGCCAGAGCCAAGTACCCCCCTCCTTACCTATTCCCCAACCTTTTACATAATTCGACTCCTAGCTCTTTTGCCACATTTATACCAATCCTCATGGAGGATGGTCTCTACCCACTCTCCATCCCACCCACCAAGTTAACAATAACACATTAGTGGCTCATGGCCGGACGCTAAACAGTGGACACCGAAGGGTGAGGTGCCTACTGCTTAATTGGGCATCTGGGTATTTACAAAAGGTTTGGCCTGCAAAGAGATGCCAGTCTTTTCCTATAACATTATTGCTTTTTATTTATTATGCGGTTGTTGATTTACATGGGGAGTTAGGAACGCTACACAAGCATAGAGTTTTTACATAGTCTGTTTCTGCTGAGTTTAGAGACTTGGAAACACCGGTTGACCCCGGCAAAAACGCAGTTCCGCAAAGGTGTTTAAACCTTCCTTTTGTTCTCGGCTGGGAGTTAGAGAGGGACATGTGCTCATGAGGAAGGTAGAGTTTCAACCCTTAAACAACCACTAAAGAGTAGAAACTATGTTGCATGTACGTCCTGTGCAGTGTAAAGATTCAATATTAAATGACAAATCAGAATATCCTCCCTCCAGGAATGCCTCTCCTTCAAAGAAATATCACAATATTTCTCTTAAACGCTCCATTCAGTGATGTGTGTTGCCGTGTATGGGACTACACAGTATGAATGCGTAGAAGAAGATCAGATGGGTAGTGAGAGAGTGTAGACAATTTAAAAGAAAGGATAAGGAGAGTAAATGAGATTTTAAGGAACAAAATGGAGGGGTGTGTGTGTGTGTGTGTGTGTGTGTGTGTGTGTGTGTTTAAGGCCTGTTCATCCTGTTGGTTAGCATCTCTGAAGTTTGAGTTGCCCTTTTGTTATATCGTGTAAATTCTTAGTAGTATGCGGGAGTATCAGGGAGAGCTCAGAGTTCCACCTTTGGAGTCTTTTCTTCTGATTCATGATTTTCTCTCTGAAAAACATCACAACACTATTATTTAGATTTGGGGCTCTTGGTTTTGAGAGATTAGCAAAATGAGTTATATAATTACTCCTGGAAGACCTAAATCCATCTTTAATTTTTATTTCACGAACTCTTATATATGGGAATCTTATTTATTTCCCATTAATAATGCAAACAGAATGGTAAAACCCCAAATTCAGCTCCTTTGCATGTGCAAGACATCTTCCAAAGATGCACGTGTAGTTCTATTCTCACGATTCTATCCTAACAAGCCTCCTGATCCTGTCCACCATATCCTCCTGTACTTTTGCTCTTAGTCGAATCCAGTAGAGCTTAAAGAATTTTTATTCAACAGGAAATGAGAAGACACAGAGAGTAACACTCAACTTGCTCTTCCTGAAGTCTCCCACTTACCAGCCGCTTCCCTCCCAGGAATCCATCACAAAAGTTCTGCACATTCTCCACTGAAACTTCCGCTCTGGGTAGTGTATCCCACTCCTCATCTAGAGTCCGGTAAATTGCCAAAGCGGGCAGTTGAGACTCCTTTAGTTTGAAAAATGAGATCACCTTCCCATTGGCCTTCACACCACTGTCCACCAGAATAAAGAGAATCTGCAGTTGGAGAGGTTTGAAAGGGAAACATCTATCTGAGGTCCGGAAGAGAAAGAGACTTTTCACGATTGTTGCAGGTTATACTGATTGAACTTATGGTCTGTGCCATCCAATTGAATGGATTACTTCTTATATTTCACTGCTTTGGTATTTTACCCCTTTGATCAAGTTTATTTAATTTTAAGGACAGAGAATTGGAAGCAACTTTAGTGATTAGCTAAATAAGCAAGGATAGCCTAATGGTTAAAAGCAGATGATACATTTTAAGTTTTGTGTCTAGTACTTTCTAGCTGTGTGACTTTGACACATTACTCAGCCTTTCTGAGGCTCAGTGTTCTCATCGGCAAGATAGGCTTTTGTTGGGGGAGATTAAATGAGAGGATCCATCTAGTATTTTCAGTACAGTTTTTAACATATGATAAATGCTTGATAAATGTCAACTATTTTATATTATTAAATCAAACCTTCTACCCAAAGTAGAAATATTTAGAATATTCTTGTTAGAGGATCGTCTACATTTAGAAACACTGAAAACTGCCAGTGTTAGGGAAACAACCACCAGAAAGTCAACTTATGTTACTACCAGACAGATGTCAGTATTGAAAATGTCTCTAGTTTAATGCAGTAGCCTTGAAGTGGTTGAAGTTTTACTATTTCAGTCATACCAAACAGAACTGTACAAAGTAGAGAGGGGACAGAAATAAACATTTATGGGACATCTAGTAGGCCCCAGGTATGATAGGTGCTTTATATGGGAAATAAGTCCTGAGTTTAAAACTTTAAGAGGCAATGGCAGAGAATAAATAAATTGTGACTAAAAAGTGATTTTTATTTTCAGCATCTTTGGGTCTCTATTTTCTTCACTTTTCAATACAGAAAAAAAATAGACTTACCACCAAGGGAAGATTTGGTTATATAGGTCTTTAATAGTATGAAATACATCTTTAACTTAATTTAATTTATTTTTTTTGAATTTGCAAGCAAAAAAGTTTATCTTTATTGCTTCATTTTATTCATATTGAAAATATTTGTACCTTTTTTAAGTTTTAATTTTTTTATTTTTAGGAAACTCATTCATCAGCCTTCTTTGTTTGTTGTTTGTTTGTTTGTTGTTTGTTTGTTTTTGTTTTTCAGGAGTAGAATTCAGTGATTCACCACTTACATACAACACCCAGTGCTCATCACAAGTGCCCTCTTTAGTACTCACCACCCATCTAGCCCACCTCCCACCCACCTCACTCTGGCAACCCATAGTTTGTTCTCTATCATTAAGAGTCTTTTGTGGTTTGTTTCCCTGTCGTCTCTTTTATTCCTTCCTTCCCATATATCCATCTGTTTTGTTTCTTAAATTCCACATATGAGTGAAATCATATGGTATTTGTCTTTTTTTGACTGACTTATTTCACTTAGCATAATACATTCTAGCTCCATCCACATCATTGCAAGTGACAAGATTTCATTCTTTTTGATGACTAACATTCCATTATACACACACACACACACACACACATATATATATATAAATTCACATTTCCTTTATCCATTGATCAGTCGATGGACATTTGGGCTCTCTCCATAGGTTGGTTATTGTAGTTAATGCTGCTATAAACATTAGGGTGCATGTACCCCTATTAATCTGTATTTTTGTATCTTTTGGGTAAATACCTAATACAGCAATCGCAACATCTTTATTTTTATTTATTTATTTAAAAAAATTTTTTTTAACGTTTATTTATTTTTGAGACAGAGAGAGACAGAGCATGAATGGGGGAGGGTCAGAGAGAGAGACACACAGAATCTGAAACAGGCTCCAGGCTCTGAGCTGTCAGCACAGAGCCCGACGCGGGGCTCGAACTCACGGACCGCAAGATCATGACCTGAGCCAAAGTCGGATGCTTAACCGACCGAGCCACCCAGGCGCCCCAATCGCAACATCTTTAATTTTAAAAAGGAGTAATGTGACTTATTATGTCCCAGTTCTTAATTCATGATCTCTTAATCATACTCACTTTCCCTATTTATCTAACCTCCCTGGACCCATCTGCCTTTTTTAGTGTCCTAGTACTGAGTATTCAAAAGGGTATCTGCCATTCCAGACTTACCTTCCCCTGGAAGAGCTTGGCAGCATTTTGGAATCTGTGCATGCTTTCCTCATACTCTGGGGAGGCCTTGTTCATCATCAGTAGAAGATGAATCTGAATCATGCTATTAAATAGGCCAATCGCAGTCTGGCAAATTGAAGTGTATTATAGTTAAATGGAATAGACAAGGAACAACAACAACAAACCATTAGTGGCAACCCAGTAAATAGGTAGGCTGAAATATAAATGAGAACTATCCACCCATAACACAAATGATAACTAGCCTCCATCTCGGCCCTCCATAAGTCTCCCCTTGGGCAGTCATGCAACTGTGTAGATCCCTGTCATCCATGATGAAAAAGGCTGAACTGAGCAACCATTGGGATATTGCAGAAATGACAGAGTGTGACTTCCAAGGTTAAGTCATCAAAAACATAGGGGCATCTGCCTTCTCTCTTCTATCACTCATGCTGGGGAAAGCCAGTCCCAGCGTTGGACACACAAGTAGCCTTCTGAAGAGATTCACACAGCACACAATGAAGGTCTTCTACTAATAGCCAGCACTGACTTGCCGGCTATATGAAGCAGATCCTATAGCCCTAGTCCAACCCTCAGATGACTGACTACCTCTCTGACCAATGACTACAATCTCACAAGAACCCCCAGATCAAAAGCACCTCGCCTAGCCTCTCCCAAATTGTTAACCCACAGAAACCGTGTGAGATAATCAAACTTTACTGTTTAAAAAAGCTGATAAATTTTGGGGTAATCTGTTATACATCAATAGACAACGAATATATCATGTAACTTATCAGTTACTTCTTCTCAGTCCCTTTCCATGTCGCAAGAGCAGTCAGATACACTTTTGAATGCTTATTATCTGCTGGACACTGTTTCCAGGTCTTTACATATAATAACCAACTTGATCCTCAAAGTTTCAGTTTTATACATGAGGGAATTAAGGCATAAACTCTCCCAAAGTTACATAAATTGTGGACTGGGATTCACACCAGGCAGTCTGGCTCCAGAGTCCATGCTCTTTATTTTTTAATTTTTTAGAGAGATAGAAAGCAAGAGGAGAGGAGAGGGGCAGTGGGAGGGGGAGTTGGGGAGAGAACTTAAGCAGCTGCATGCTCAGTGTGGAGCCTGAACACAGGGCTTCATCCCGCGACTCTGGGATCATAACCTGAGCCAAAACAAGAGTCAGAAGCTCAACCAACTGAGCCACTCAGGCACCCCAGAGTCCATGCTCTTAACCATCAGGTTGTCCTGCCTTATACATAGTTAATTGCAAAACCCCATCTAAACCAACTCAAATGAAAGCCATTTGCCTGAAACCTCAGCAATAAGATAAGCTCTTCAGGAGGCCAGAAGCATTGGCCCTTTTTTGCTGATTAGAGATGGTGATTTCCCATGAAGTTATCAGTGACGGATGGGAGTAGTACAGCCATGAGCCAGAGAGAGCATGAAACTATGGCACTGGCTCTCTTCACTTTTTTTTTTTCTTTCTTTTCCTGAAACCGTGCTCCAGAGTCTCTTTTAAATAAATCCTATCCCTTTTCACCTCTCTTGCTTAAATACAGAAAGCATTTCTATAAAACTAGCATGTGTACAGGAAGCGAGAGTATGGTGGATGAATGAACTGTAAGACAGAGTCCCAGGATGCTGAGAACGGGAGCCAGCTAGGTCGGATTCTTCTGGAAGCTACACACTACTCTGTAGAGATTTTCCAGCAGTATTGGCCAAGTAGGCAAGGAGTGTTCAATGAGCTCTTTTCCAAAACTTTCTTCCTGGAATTAATTAATTTATATTTTAGAGAGAGAGAGAGAATGAGCAGGGGGAAGGGGCAGAAGGAGAGAGAGAGAATCTTAAGCAGGCTCCACACTTAGGATGGAACCTGACACAGGGCTTAATCCCATGACCCTGGGATCATGACCTGAAGGTTGCTTGACCAGCTGAGCCACCCAGGTGCCCCTCTACCTGGAGTTTAAAGCCAGTTCTTAGATTTTAAATTTGGGAGATTGGATGTTAAATAAGAGTCTCTTGTTTTACTAGATCCTGCTACCTAAACTTAAAGCATGCATGTATCCTCCTAGAGCTGAGTTGGAGAATAATTTTGGGGAAGTCAAGAAATCAAAGCTAAAGAGTCAAAAAGTACAGCTGTCTTACTTTTTGGGTATACCCAGCTGTCTTGGGTATATCAGAAGTGATTAATTTAATCTTAACAGACAGTCTGATTTTCCACCTTGAAGCTAAGTATCAAGTGTGGGCATTAAACGTATACAGCTGGCTTAATACATGATTGTGAGTTTCTGCCTCCTCATTGTTACTGGTGCAAACCTCTGCATCAACAGCAGATGAGAAATAGCTATAGTAGAGGAGGCAGGTCTCCAAATGAGAAAAATATCACCTTTGGGAAATGTAGAAGTCACAACACAAGGTGAACTTGCTTTTCTAAAGAAATTCTTACCTAATTTCTTCTTGATGTGATTTGCCTTCACTACTAGTGTGGAATTTAAAGTAATATGTCATTACTTTATAAGATAAGAGATGAACTAGGCATAAGAACTCAGGAAGGCCAGTCCTTGTTTAGTTAGCCTGCAGAACCTAGGGACTCTAAGATCATCTTTTCTTTTCCCACAAGCACTCCTGACCTCTACAAATATAATCATGAGAATGATGATGTCTAGGAGAAAACTGCCTTTTTGATTATTGCTGCCAATACCCCTGGGGTGCGTGTGTTTGGAATCTTAACAGAGGTGGAAATGGAGTCACCACTCTATGAAGACAAACGTGGTGTGAAAGATGGACAGGAATTTAGTCAACAGGAAAAGGGGTGTTTCCTATTGAAGGCTGTGTGGGGCAATGGAAAAACCACAGGATTCTGTCAGACTAGCCATGAAAAAAAAAAAAAAAAGCAGGGACAAGTGCAGAGAGCTGTTTCGGAAGCTCAAATTGCTAGTCATATGGCCTTGAGGAACTTCTCTTTTCTGAACTCTCTTTTCTTTCCTGTGAAATGGGAGTAGACAATATGAGCTAATCCATAAGGAGTTAAAATTTCTGCCTTCAGTTCTACCTTTCTGACTTGGTGACCTTGAATAAGTCACTTGGATCTTAAATGTGCTCCTTGATAAAATGGGCATAGTAATTTTCTCTCTTTGGCTTCAAAAAATCAATGTGAACATTAAGTGAGAAAATGGGTGTGAATTGGCTTTGTGAGTTCTAAAAACCATGATGTGCTCTAAAGTACTGTTATTAGAGAATGCACAGCATTTCAGAACTGATGAGATCACTGGAAATTAATATGCTATCACCTTATGTTCTACACCAGGGAAGAGAAAAGACAGGACATAGAAGGTAATTAATTCACTGTGTACGCTGTAGAATGTTAGACGACCAGAAGATGATCGGAACGGGTGGGCTGATGCCTTCACCCAGGTGGCATGCAGTGTGCAACTCCATAAGAAGATAAACCTAGAAAGAAAGCTACGTCACCATGAGGGTCTAGGCATGTGTAGGGGGTGCCAGACCAAGAATTGTTAGTTACAGGTCCACAAGGAGGTAGAACGAAGTTTTAAAAACTTTTGTAGAAATTTTACATTGCTGTAACATCCAAGTATGTGATCAGTGGGCTTTATTTTTTAATATTTAACTTTTCTATTAAATTGTATTCTGCAAGTGGATTGGTCCCTGATGCCTTTGGAAAAGTGGATTTTCAGCATCGATTACAATTTTGTTTGAGAAGTGTGGTCTAGAGTGTTGCTTAGATGAGTTGCTTTTAGCGAACACTCTCAGACAGCAAAGCTCAGAAGTGTTTGACTCGGTCACCTTGACTCTGCATTTTGGCTCTCTTCCTTACTAGTCGTCTGATGAGTGTTTAAGTTTTCTAACTCTGTTTCTTTCTTTGTTGAGGAGGGACAAGTCTATCAAACTTAAAGAGTTGGAGTAAAGTTTGCAACATAAACAGCTGAGTGTTCAGTTAATATCAGTTACTGTTATTATTGGTCAAAGGATTAAAACTCCTGGAAGGAGAGATCTCTGTATGGAGACAAGTACCCTCCCTGACATAGGGACTTAAGGGTCTGGAGCCAAGAACTATTGTTTACCGCAGGGTTGTACTCCGTCACCAAGTGGAGGCTGTTGATCTCAATGAAGCGGCTTAATTTGGTGGCATCAATGCTTTCAATGTCTTTGCTCTCTAAATCCAATTGTTCGTTATCCACCTGGGTAACACAAAAAGGATAAAATTGTCACTGTTCTGATTTTATTTATTCATTGATAAATATTTCTGGACTATCTACCACGTGTCAGGCACTAAAACTCAAAATACATAAAGGGAAATAAGAAATATTCTCCACTTTCAAAGAACACACTGTCCTGTGGGATACAGAAATGTCACCACAGGGGAATCATGGGCCCATATGTCACCTAAAGGAAGAGCAGAGAAGTTTCCAGGAGGAAGTAAGTCTTGAAAAATAGCTAAAATTTGGTTAGATGAATGAGGATGGGGAGAGAGTTTTAATTCGAAAAACAGTATTTACAATGGACAAAAAGAGGAGAGATCCTATGTTCTGGAAGCTGCAGTTAGTTTGTCATAACTATAACAGTAATTCTAGTTAAGTATGAGTAGCAGAGGGACAAGGTTAGTGGGGTAGGCTGGGGCAAACTTCTGAAGGGCCTTGAAGTCAAGCTAAATAGATTACACTCTAAGAACCTGAAGTCAAGGGTTTACATTTACATAATCAGATTTATGTATGTACCCTTTTAATGTGAAATAATATGCACACACAGAGAAAAGCATGAAACATAAAATGTAAAACTCAGTGTTTAAAAAATTATCACAGGGGCGCCTGGGTGGCACAGTCGGTTAAGCGTCCGACTTCAGCCAGGTCACGATCTCGCGGTCCATGAGTTCGAGCCCCGCGTCGGGCTCTGGGCTGATGGCTCAGAGCCTGGAGCCTGTTTCCGATTCCGTGTCTCCCTCTCTCTCTGCCCCTCCCCCGCTCATGCTCTGTCTCTCTCTGTCCCAAAAATAAATAAACGTTGAAAAAAAAATTAAAAAAAAAGAAGTAGAATATTGCCAGAACTCATGATGCCTTCTGTCTTCCCTTCTAATCCATAATTTGCCCTTTTCTTTTTTTTGCCAAAGGTGACCATTACCTGACTTTTACGGTGGCCATTTTCATCCTTTTCTTTATAGCTTTAGATGCACTTAAAGATGCACTTTTTAATCCCATGGTTTAGTTTTCTTTTTTAAAACTTCATGAAAATAGAAATTAACAGTATATTTTATGTACACATATCTCATTTCTTTGCTTAACATTCTGTATATAGTCATTCATGTCATCACATGTAGCTGAAATTTGCTCATTTTCCTTGGCATATAATACTCCATTGTATAAATATGCAAAACTTACTCATTTTACACTGATGGATATTTAGGTTATTTCCAGTTGCTGATTATTAAAATAATGCTGCAGTGAACATTCTTGTTCATGGGACATAACCGTTGTCCATATACCTTGGATTGGGATTTTTCATTAGAGAGTGTGTGTATTTTCAACTAACAACAACTGCCAAGCTATTGGGGCATCTGGGTGGCTCAGTTGGTTAAGCATCGAACTCTTGATTTTGGCTCAGTCATGATCTCATGGTCATAGATCCAGCCCCATGTTGGACTCTGTGCTTGGGATACTTTTTCTCCCCCTCTCTCTGCCCTTCCCATACTCACACACACACACACACACACACTCTCTCTCTCTCAAAATGGATAAATAAATTTAGAAAAATGCCAAACTATTTTCTAAAGTAGATAATAATTTCTGCTTACACCTATATTTTTTGAAAGCTCCCATTTGTCCAACACTTGGTATTACCAGCCTTTATAATTTTATTCATTCTCGTGAATGTGTGGTAATGTCTTATTGTGGCTTTAATTGCATTTCCCTGAGTAACCCCTTGTATGTCCTCTTTTACGAAGTGTCAATTCAAATCATTTGCTTATTGTTCTATTGAGCTGTCTATCTTTCTTTCACTGGTTTGAAGATGCTTCTATACACTTTGTTATGTGAGGCTTTTGTTGCTTCTGTATGGCATATCTTCCTTCACAGGGACCTTCCCTTTTGTTGGCTATTGCTCATGAACGGAAGGTAATTTCAATGTGGTTGAGGTTATCAATATTTTCCTTGGTAACTAGTGTGTATTTTTGTTTTGTTTTGTTTTTTCAACGTTTATTTATTTTTTTTGGGATAGAGAGAGACAGAGCATGAACGGGGAGGGGCAGAGAGAGAGGGAGACACAGAATCCGAGACAGGCTCCAGGCTCTGAGCCATCAGCCCAGAGCCTGACGCGGGGCTTGAATTCCCGGACTGCGAGATCGTGACCTGGCTGAAGTCGGACGCTTAACCGACTGCGCCACCCAGGCGCCCCTGTTTTGTTTTGTTTAAAAATCTTTGCACCAAAGTCATGAAGAAATTCTCTTATCTCCCATAAACATTATTATTTTATCTTTCACAATAGATCTAAGATCTACCTGGAACTTATTTCTCTCACTTTAAAATGGATGCTTAGATCCTTGATTTTTATCATCATCCTTCTCTAAAATATATATTAAAATCTACACACTTCCTCCTTACAGGGCTATAAATGTATCCATAAATTTTATATGTAGATTTCACTATCATTCAATCCAAATGTTTTCCAATTTCTGTTCTTATTTCTTCTCTAACCTATTGGCTCTTAAGAACTTAATTTAATCTTGTATTGATATGAATCAATATTAATCTTGTAATCAGTATTAACCTTGTAGCTTAATTTCTACATTTTATTTATAGCATTTGTCAACTTCTGCATGTGTTATATATGTCCTTAAAATTATGCATAATCTGCAGTTTTTTAACATACTATTCTGTATAAACTAATGACTCACTTGGTTAATTTTATAATTCAGATTTTCTATATTCTTATTGAATTGTTTAACCAATTTATTTTATCGAGAGAGCAATATTAAAATCTCTGGGGTGCCTGGGTGGCTCAGTCTGTTAAGCAACTGACTTTTGGTTTTGGCTCAGGTCGTGATCTCACAGTTCCTGAGTTCGAGCCTTGCGTCAGGCTCTGAAAGCCAATTCGCAGGCTGCTTAATATTCTTTCTCTTCCCCTCTCTCTTTGTTCTTCCCCCACCCCCAAATAAATAAACTTTAGGGGGAAAAAGTATTAAAATCTCCAACATGATTGTGAATTTAACCATTTTTTCTTATAACCCTGTTAGATTTGCTTATATATTCTTAGGCCATGTATTAGACTCTATCCTTTTACTTTCAATCTATCTTTCTATTTTACATGTGTCCCTATGTTTTAAAATATGTCCTTTGTAAAAAGCTCAGAGTTGTATTTTTTAATCCAGTCTGCCAATCCTTGTCTTTGCATTGCATTATTTTTTATAGAATGTAATTACTAATATATTTATTTCCATATGCATTTCCCATTGTTTCTGTCTGTTCCAAATCCCACTTTCTTCCATTTCTGGACTACTTTGAATTAATTGAGCACTTTATATTATTCCTTCCTTCCCTTGATTGGCTTAGAAGTTACACAAGCTACAATCATTCTTTTGAAGATAACCAGCATGCACTACACAACATGCATTCTTTAGTTGTCAGAGTCTAATTTTAGCTGGCAATTTTGTCTCTTCCTGGACAATGTAGAGATTAGAACAATTTAATACAGTTTTCCTCCATCCAACTATATACCCTGACCCCACACTCAAGGCTTACAGATGATTATTATTGTGTATTATAATTTTAAATCTCATATTTTTTTGTGAGATTTCTTCATTTCTTCCTGTACTTTTGAGCTTCTATCTGGGATGTTTTGCCCTCTGTCTAGAAAGCACCTTTTAGTATGAGTCAGATCTTTTGGGCGACATAATCTCTCAGTTTGGTTTCTGAAAATATCGTTATTTCAGCTTTATTTTTCAAGCCTATTTTTGCTGGAGGTAGAAGTCTATGTTCACAATTATTTTCTTTCTGTTTTTGCAAGATATAATTCTTTATATGTAACATTCCACTCTTTCCACTGAGAAGTCATCAGTGAAATTTAGTATTGCCTTTTTGATGTTGCTTTGAGGGTAATCTCTTCTCTGATTTAAAATTATTCTCTTTTTTTGGGGTGCCTGGGTGGCTCAGTCGGTTGAGCGTCTGACTTCGGCTCAGGTCATGATCTCACAGTCCATGGGTTCGAGCCCCGCATCGGGCTCTGTGCTGACAGCTCAGAGCCTGGAGCCTGCTTCAGATTCTGTGTCTCCCTCTCTCTGACCCTCCCGCATTCATGCTCTGTCTCTCTCTGTCTCAAAAATAAATAAACTTCAAAAAAAATAAATAAATAAAATTATTCTCTGTTTCTTTGAGTCAGCTATTATACTATGGCATGGCTAAGGGTAGATTATATATATGATACATAAGTATAATTATATATGTGTAGAGGTATATGTGTGTATATCTATGTGCATGGGTATGTGTGTATATATATATATATATATATATATATATATTCATATACGATCATCCTAATCCAATTTCAGGGATTAAGATGATTTGTTGTAGTCCTTGGGAAGGATGATTTACTTATGGTAAATCCTTGTTCTTAGGGTACTGTTCTTTAGGGTTCAAAGTGGGGCAAAGGCTGTTTTACTAAATCTTCCTCCTACTTCCTCATCTGGGCCCTGGATTTCAACATTTACTTTTCAGGTTCCTTGAGTGTCACAAAAAAGCTGTTAAACTTCTCAGACTCTTGACTACTTCTTTAAAAACTGGCAAGAAGAGCCCCCTAGACAAAAAGCGGTCCCAATACAGGGTTTTCCTTTTGGGGTTTTATCTTCTAGATCTTAGTCTAGTTATTTCTCTCTCTCTCTCTCTTGCTAGTTCTCCAAAGACTCTTGCCCCCTTTACTATTTGCCTGGATTTTAAAATAAATTGTTATTGGTGAAAGGGATTATTTGGTTACCTAGTCTGTAATCCCAGATTAGCATTTTAGAGCTACCTTTTCACCATACTCAGATACATTAAAAGATAGGACTTCATACTGTCAATTCTTATCCCCAGAGTTTTCCATTCCCCTCCCCCAATCTACTCCTGTCCATAAAGCACAAGATAATACTTCCATCACCCAGAGCAACTATGCCTACAGACAAATGCTAGCTTCTGAACAGTTCTGTTTCTTAAAATAG